GACCTGGTTGGGTCTCATCAGTAGTGCAAATCCATCGACCCACTAGGGGATCAAACCCGGGACCTCATAGGCAGAACACAAGCATACTACCCACTCGGCCACCGGGCAAATGATCAGACCGTTTCTCATCTTGGACCATACACGTTATATCATAACCCATCTTTGTGAATTTGTTGGGGGCCACGGACCATGCTCATCTCAGCAACTAGCCCCTTGGATTATGAAATTAAATCCAATCCTCCATTAGTCACATGAAACAAGTAGTCAGGTGGTGAATGTTTCCAACCGATTCATAACCCCGGAGGCCAGCGCTGGGATGAGCGAGGACCATGACCCCCAACAAGGTCGCAACTTTGAGTTGTGCTATATCGCGTAAATGGAACGTGAAAAAACGGTCTGCTCTGCTTTTCATAGCCCAGTTGGTAGAATACCTGCGTTTTGCCTGTGAGGTCCCGGGTTGGATCACCAGTTGGGTCGATTGATTGGTGCACTGTGCTGATGAGAGTCAACCAGGTCAAAACAGCTGTCCAGTGCTTCGTAGCTTTTTAGTTCACGCTTCATTTGCTCTCTGTGCACGACGACAATTCCCTTAGAAATTGCACCAATTTTGACTGACTCCGTCAATGGCACTCTGTTCGGATGCAGAACGGGATCATTTTACTCGAAGCATGAGGTCTTGTTGTGTTTTTGAAGTCGCAACCTAAAAATTAGTTAGTCAAGTATAAATCGCTTGTGGGTTTAGGCCAATAATCGTAATAACAGGGACGAGTGCACAATTACTTGTGAAACCCTACATGAAGCTATCATCCATTCTTCGTGACAAACTCACTTTCACGGAGTACGTTTATGGTTATTTTTGTTTTCCAAGAGGAAGAGGTTGAATCAGTAACAGATCAAAAACATAAGTAAAAAAGTTTGCTGTCTCTCGATCAATGTTGAAGAGCTCGCGAATTCCACGCATCTATATCAAATGTTTCGCAAATAAAGCAAGAATTCAGATCTTTCAGCGAGACCGTCGGGCAGAGTTCGCGCGCTCGCCTTCTCTTTCCGACCGTGCAAGCGTTTACTGATTTCAGTGAGTGATTAGAGATTGCATATCAAAGTAGAATTGAATTTCTATGAATATTTTATCCTCCTAGAAACAGCAGCCGACCACAGAACCAGAGTATTAACGATGAATGAATAAATGACTGGTTGCATGTGATACTGTGTGATGAATGGAAGGAAGGAGTCGTGTGATCCTCTCGTAGTCTAAAGCTACATGTTGATGAATTGATGAATTTAAACGGATCAGATTTTAGTTGATCGTTTACAAAAACAAAAGTTTTATTGTAAAATGGATATAGAACCATTTAATGGCCTCTGATTGAAGATGTGTTTGTAGAATAACACACTAGGTCAACATGGAATTACTGGAATAACGAAGCTACAGTTTGATCACAATAGAAATTAGAAGTATCTCAATGACGATGATGATGATTGCTGAAGTTTTTTAATTAGGTGCTGGAATGCTAAACGGGCGCCTCTTGGTCACTACGAATTGCCATTCACTGTAGAAGCTATCCATTATGACAGGTTTTCTTCTATCCTTCTAGCAAAAGCCTAACGATGAATAGCATATTGACTGAAAGTATTAAAAATACCGGAAAAGTGAAATGAATTGGGCTTCTGCAGATAATTCAGGATTTTCCCGTAAAACTCTTGCTCGCAGATATACTTGTACATCCTATCATGTTCTCCTTATTCCAAATGATTTGCCCCTGGTAATGAAGTTGACTTATGTTAAATAACCAGCAATCAGGACTGAAAAAGACGTACAACGGATTTTCATCTGCCTACACACCAATCCATTTGATATATATGCTAGCAAAATAAATTATTCAAAATGACAACTTTTGAACGCATCAGAATCAATGTATACATATCGTTTATACTTTAGAGTGGTGGTGGTAATTTTCGGAAACCAATGAAATAGAGAACCGAGTACAGGCTTTCAGGATAGTGGCAGGATTGACACAGATCACCCGGAGCGATAATTTGATGACCTTTACCGTTAGACCACTACCACCCGATAGGCAATAGGCGGAAAATATATGGTTCCTTAAAACCGACCTTAGCTACTTGAAGAGTTTGTTCAGCAAAATCAAATTCCGTTCAATTGAGTGAAAACGGATTTTAGTTGCGTCTTTCTCTTCGAAGTGGCGTTTGAAAACCGACCGAGGTTTTTACCGAATAACGTACGATTTTGAGACAGTTTCTCATCAAACATCACAACAAAATACTTTGAGGACGTTTTATAGAGAGCGTTTTTTTATCCAATGGCCGGGTATATTCAAGGCTGGATCTGAGTTCAGCTAACGATCGTTGATGCCAATAATCGGGCGTTTCTAACGGTGCGGTAATAATAACAAATCACTTCTGTGTAACTGACCCTAAGCTGTTAGTGTACGATATGGATTTCGCTGTTTCTCACGTGATGTTCATGGCTCATCATCCATCTTCAACTCCAGAGGGATTCATGCGCATGTGTAAGCTTCCATATCATCGCGGGATTTGGAAGCGCGTTAGACGCATGGGCTACGTGGGTTTTCTTTACGAACAACTCCATTTTTATACCCATAGCTTCTTATACACGATCTAAGAGTTAACGATGCTCAGAAGTTCGTCAGCATAGATGTTAAGAAGTTTTATGAGCGTTCCAAAGCTGAGAGGCGATACTTAAGTGTATCGTCCCAGTGGTTGTGTATTCGAAATCAACCGGTATTAACTTTCTTTTCGTCTTTATTTTTCATTTGACTGGTTCGTTATGCTTCATTTATCCGTTTCGTGTGAACACCCCGGATAGAACAAAACCAGGTTATTGTTCCGTTTAGTCCATTCTAAGCCTCGTATGATACTCCTGGCCTTGACGAACACTATAATTCCCCTGAAGTTGTCTCAGGAGTAAACTTAGAATGAACTGGTGATGAACACAGACATTTAGAAACATGTATAGTTTTAAGTGGTACGTTTGCATGTGTTATTTGGACTGGCTCATACACAGAATGTTCAGACAAAATTGAATGATGCAGTACGGACAATTTTGAGAGAGAGATAGAGATAGAGAGGAATAACGGAAATAAAGCCGGATGGCATTTATCGTTCGAACAGAGCGTGATCGGGGTAAGGGAATTTACAGGTAAAATTGGTCTAATTTAAAGATAGTACAATTCAGACTGCCGGAACCGAGATAAACGGTCAGCGGAGAAAGAGAATTGGACAAAAAGAAAAACAAAACGAGGACCAAATGACAAGTTAAACAGACATAAAAACCAAGATTTTGTGGAACAATCACTTGTCGGTTAAAATACGTTTGGAATTATGATCATTATTACTATGGCGGGGGGGGGGCTGGTTGAAATTGAAAAGGAAGCGTGCATTGTATGTGCTCCATTGTATGCATGAGCGTATATCGAGCTCACAGTCTCTCGATTCGGACAAGATCGCGTCCCATGCCATTTGGGGGCTTCGAGAAGTTCAAAATCGATCCTAGAGAAGTCAGAGTACACTAGAGAGCGGGATGGGGTGGAGCATAACTTTTCACACAAAACTGAATGCACACGGGAATCACATCAACGAAAGGACAAAGGAACAGGCGAAGAATAGAAATGAAGATCTAAATAGGGAGCAAATGTGTGTGTTTGTGTGATGACTTGGTATTTTTTCACAACCCCTATAGCGTACATAGTCGAACATAAAAATAATGCTTTAGAGCAGGTTTTCATGGTGATGGCGGGGTGGAGGTGGGGGTATATTACTTCAGAACAGACAACAGAGGGAGGAAGGACCGTCGTCGGGTGTAGTGTTTTAAACAGAAACGGATGTATTCGAACAAACAGGTAGAGATAAATTGCTCCATGTACGTGTGCTGATGCTCGGGTATGTGGATGAATATGGGCTTTGAAATTACGTAATTATATATGGGGTAATACAGACTGGATCAGCGTCAGATTACGAGGCATGTTTCAGCTGGTTGAAAAAATAAAGTATTGTTTGCAATAAAA